AGTAATAATTATTAGTCATACATAAAAGGTAAATATGGAAAAAAAATTAGTACTCATTGAAACCACAAATATGACAAGTATTTTGAAATAAGCTATTTTCTCAAATATGACAAGTATTATGGAACAGATGTAGTACTAAATATGGGTAAAATTGAAAAAAAAAATTAATACACTCTCAAAATCTTAAATAAATACTTAAAGTAGAATAAAATAAAATGTTCATTTGTTACTATTAAAGTGGAACGAATAGAATAATAAATTATTTTTTCAATTTTTACCTTTTATATGACCAATAGTAATTGAATGGTTTTCATTGAAATAACAAATTGAGGGTAGTATATTAAATTTATTTAATTATTTATTGTAACGTAGACAGATTGAATGGTTTTTAAGAAATGCGAAATATTCAAATGTGATAAATATGTCCTATAATTTAGGACAAATGGAGTAAAAAGGAAAAAAAATGCAAAATTCAATTAGCAAACCATGTTATGACAACTTGTTTTGCTTTTGATATGAAATTGGAACATCCAATCAATGTTGTAGGTGATACATTAAATCAAACTATAAATTGGGATTAATCGAATTAATGATGTCTCATAACTCAAGACAAAGATACTGTGCTGGTCTACAATTTGGCTAATGTTTATATACTCTATCCGTTTTAAAAAGATAATTCACCTTTATTTTTTGGTTTGTTTCAAAATATAATTTTTTTTTATTATAGTTAATCCATAAATTGTCTAACATGCCCTTATTAAATTTTACTTTATTTTCAATAACCCTCATTAATTCTTAGTCATTACTATCTAGTTCCATAATACTTGTCAAATTTGAAATTTCACGTTTCTTAAGAAAACTATTAGATTTGTCCAAATTTACAATAAATTATTCTTTAAAAAATCAGTTAGCTAGATTTATTTTTTCACTCAACTAACCTGATTAATAGAATTTTAAAAGACAAAATTTAAATGAACAGTCTAACTGAACTACATTGAATAGGGTTGGTTCGATTATTCAGTTTAAATCGAATATTGCACCCTTTGGCCAGATTATAATTGTGATTTTTTATTTATTAAAAATAATAATTTAAAGATACCGTTTTTTCGGGGCAACTTCAATTTTTTTTATCCATCCAGAAAATGTCACGTACAAGATTTCCTATGTTTTGCTGACTACTGATTCACTGTTCAGCATTATGATTAATATACTTTTATAATATGAATCAGGAATTTAATTTTTTTTTAATATTTTCAAAAATTATCGAAATCATCCAAAAAAAAAATTCTATAATTAGAAAAGTGGTAAGGCTTTGATCGAAAATTAAATCATAAAACAAATAATAAATTGAGATTTTCAAAATAGACAACATAAGCGATATATTCGTCTCAAATCTCTAACAAGAGATATTTTGGCTGAAGCACTAGCCAGAAGACTGAGTTGTTACATGAAGAAAGGCTTAAGCCAAAAATAAATAAATAAATAAATAAATAAAAGGCTTGCCAGACAATGACCTATACAAAAATAAACAATAAGGAAAAGATAATAAGAAATAGAAATGATGACCAAATTGCCAAAAGTAGCCTTAAGCAAAGAAAATAGTAAACAACATAGGATTCATATGACTAAAATACTAAGAATAAGGGTGAGAAAAGAGACAAAGAGTATTAAATATTTCAACAAAAATTGTCAATCTAGACACAGAATTAGAGGGTCTCACCTAATTATGCCACTATGGTCCACTTCTACTTTGAGGCAGAACACTTGGTACACACATTTTTTTTTGTTGACAGCAACTATTCAACTTCTTCTTTTACTATTTTATTTTGCTCTTTTTCTCCCCTTTCTACTACTTATATTTCAATAATATTTTCTTTTTCCTAAAAAAAAAAAATTATATTGATAATTTTTTTAACATATTGGCCATTAGGTGTATTTCACTTATCATTCCTCAAATTTAATTATTAAAATAAGAATCTGTTTGGCGAAATTAGCTGTTTTGGTAGTTGTTATATATGTTTTAGTAATGTAAAACTATTTGAGTAGCTTTTTATAAAATGCTAAAAATTAAATGTTACACGGATTAACATTTTATAAAACTCTAAAAGTTAATTCAAACGCGGTTACCGAATACTATAAAAAATAGCACTTATCATTTTAACAAGTCAAAATGCTAAAAGCTACTTAAAGAGTTATTGCTGAATTTAGGTTGGGTGTAAATGGGAGGCTTATTGGCTTGGATTAGTATTTAGATAAATTAAGTTTTTCTTGAACACTATAATTGAATAATGATTTATTTTGCTGATAAAAAAAAAGTTATTGCCGAACACCGCCGCGTAGGTTATAATAACTTATACTCCCTTCGTCCCATTTTATTTGTTTGTCATTCCTTTTTTGGATGTCTCAAAATGTTTGCAAGATTTCTAAATTTAGATATGCAAACGATTATTTTTTCCATAATAACCTTTGTAATTGTTTATTAAATGAAGGATTTTTAAGTATGTTAACAAGTTATTAAGGGTAAAAAAGTGCAAAATAATTTTTATTAACTAAATTCTTAATATGCGTGTTTTGTCAAATCATATAAACAAAATAGGACGGAAGAAATATAATTTTCTTTATAAATTTTATTTTAATGTATTTCAGTTTTTAAATACAATTTGTCCACTGCAATAAAAAGAAAAAAAAAATTTTAAGGTTTACAGTTTAATGGTTATAGAAAACTTTTTTTTTTTATTTATAATTAGAAATACTTTCGAGTTAATTTATGCATAAGATAACTACATTTTATGTTTAGTTGATCATATGTTGACTTTCACCGCATCAACTTGACATATTTATAAATATTATTCCTAAAAAGCTTGTTAATAAAATTAAATCCTAGTCAATAAAAAAAATTATCATTTCAAACAATTGGATTGACCCTCTCAAGTTATATATGGTGCAACTCTGAAAGTTATCAATATAATTAAGATTTAATTATATATAAGTTTAGCTTTTAATGTGATTACCATAAAAGGGTGTTTAATATAAGGACAAAGTTACAGAAATTAAGCTACTAAATTTATTAAAACTTGAAGTAATTACTTAATTAGTTCATTTATGTTTCAATTTAACATGTAATTAATGAAATTTGGTTTGTAAATTAGAGCTTCCTGTGAAAAAATTATGCTTTAGACCCACGGGAGGTTTTGAGAGTTAGTTAATTTGTTTTGACAAAACATTGTGTCTCTTAATTAGATTGTTTAGTAACTTAATATTTGTAACAGTTGTTAGAAGCTACGGAGCATTTCATCATCGAACGTTAAATCACTTCAATTAATTAACGTGTAGTTTTAGATTTGGGTTTTTTTGACACTCTTATCCATTTGTTTTGGTATTCTACTTGCTCTAACACTCATTTGAAATTACTACTCTTATTATTTATTTAATTTTTCTTTTTCAAAAATATATGTCATTTTAATTATTTTAATTATTTATTTTTTATATTAAAATAAGAATAAGAGCATATTTTCAAAATTAAATAAAAATTAGAAAAAAAGTTTCATATCTCATCCTTTCATTTTAAATTTATAAGAAATAATCTTTCGCACAAAGAAATTGAAATAAAAAAAGTACTTGCTTTATATATATATTATATCATCTTATTTTTGATTAATTTGTCCATTTCAGTCATAATTTAAAATTTAAAATTTAAAATTGACATTATTGTGTCTATTTTTGTCATTTTAATTCTAACAGTTAATCAAATATTTATTTTTACCAAATACTTTTACTTTAAAACACTACATAAACAACTAATAGCTAACAATTAACATTTAACAACTAATAGCAAATAAAACAGTTAATATGGTGGAACAAAAGGTATTTTAGTTTCACACGGTGGGACCTTTACTTACAAGGAATCACGAATGCATATAATTCTGTAAGTAATTTTCTCAATTGTTTCTTATAATAAAAGGCATATGAATGAGAAATTTCCAGGTGATTATCTATTTATATATATAATTCTGCAATTTTTGATTCGCTAAATACTTCACCTACTTGTTTGACATTTAAATTTGTTGTTTGGTAAAAGCACAGTTAAAAATATTTTTATGATTCAAAATTAATTATTTAAAAATAAAACTATAATATTTATCGTTTTGATATTTCATCTTTAATAATTAATCATTCATGGTTAATAATTAAGTGTAATTAACTAATATGATTTGTTTCTCCGTTAAAATTAATTAATAAATGAAAAATTGTGTGTTTATCAGAAGGAATAAGTTTGTGAATAGTCAAACCAAGTAAAAAGACTAATTTTTTAGCTCGAACTATTTTTACAAATTCATTATTTGGTTTTTTAATGATATTTTTTTATAAAATTAGTTAAAAAAACTTGATATTTATTTCTAAAGCTAACAATTGATATTTTAATAGCTAACAATTGATTATTGTATTAGTTAAAATCTGTATAATGATATTTTGATATTTATTTCTTAAGAAAAATTAAATTAAATAGACATTTATAAGTTTAATTTGAACTCTGAAAATTTAAGACATAAATTAATTAGTTTTTACCTATGTTTTTAAGTGAATATCAATATACTTAAAATATCCTAAAAATTTATTATCAAATAATTTAAAATTATTAAATATTTGTAAAAATTTTGATTTTAAGCTGTAGATAATATACATAAAATTACTGTTAATTTAATTTTTTTCAGAAAATATCCCATTTCCATTTTTTTTCTTGAAATATTCCATTATTACAATGGAGAAAAATATATTGGAATTTACATTTTTTGTTTATAATAAAGGTGCACGCGATAAATACATAATGTAATATTTCCTACTTGTTATTTACCTAGTTGTTAGTTATATGGACGGCAAATGAAGAAAAAAAAAATAGAAAAAGAAAAATAGAAGTATGAAAAACCGGTGACCGGCCAAGCCAGTTGTCTGTATAGCTAAAATGAGTGAGAAAATGTTTATATATTGTCCATTGCCTCTCTCTTCCCTTCTTAAAAATCAGCCTTCTCTGAAATGTTCCTTCAGACGTCCCATCTCTCTCCTCTTCTCTCTCTCTAAACACAACCTCCTCTATGGAATCCGTTACTCGGCGATGATTTCAACTCCCGCCGTTCATTCCTCGCGATATTTTCACTAATGCAACTCTTCTAAGCTTTGCCTCCTCTAAAAGCCGTTGTTTCCTTTTTTAAAAAGCTACCTAAAATTTGACTACTCTTACTTTCCGGACACCGGAAGTTTTCTCCGGCAGCTCTTTGGAGAGAAGTAAATCCTATCTCAACGTATAAATATATAAATTTTTTCTTGCTGTTTCTTATTGCTCTCTCTTTCTCTATATATCTATCTCTGTGTATTTGTTTACCTTTACATGCCTCTGATTTCTGCTTTCTTTGAAATCTTCGATCAGATCGATCTCCGGCGTCGGAATTATTCTTCTATTAGAAGAAAGGAAGACATTAATTAAGCACTGGCTTTTTCTCTTTTTGGTTATTATTATTGTCAGTATTTGAGCTGAATTAGCTTAAAAAATTGAGTTAAATTTGGCTTCGGTGAACCAAGGAAAAATATAGTTGTTTAAAGTTCGTGAAAATATTTTAAGTGTTACTATGTTGGATCTTAATTTGAATGTGGACTTGGCCGAGTCGACTCAAAACTCAGACTCGGTGGCTTTGATGAATAAGTATCAGTACCAGCAGTACCATGACCCGGAAGGATCGGGGACGTCAAATTCATCAGTCGTCAATGCGGACGCGTCCAGCAACGATGATTCGTGTTCTACACGCGCCTACACTGGTGATGCTAGTAATAGCAGTATTAATAATAGTTGTGTCTACACCTTCAACTTCGATATATTGAAAGTAGGTGTTGGCGGTAACTGTGGTAGAGGAAATGAGGACGAAAACGAAAACGACGCCGTTGTGACCAAGGAGTTTTTCCCTGTGTGTGGTAATGGGAAAGGAGTGGGTGGAGATTACGCGAATTCTCTTGGGCAAGCTGGGCAAGGTTCCTCGAGGAACTGGATCGATCTCTCATTTGAGAAGCAGCAAGATATTGGTGATCGAGAGGTGCGGGTGATTCAGCAGCCGCCGCCGCAGCAGGTTAAGAAGAGCAGGAGAGGACCCAGGTCCAGGAGCTCGCAATATAGAGGAGTCACATTCTATAGGAGGACTGGGCGATGGGAATCTCATATATGGTACTATATTTCTTCTTTTGGTAATTAGTATTTTTGTTTTTGGTTTAGTTTAACTGAATTCTGGTTTGGTTTCGTTGATTTTGATGGGCTTTTACTTGGTGGTTAAATTTTGCTTTGCGTGTGGGTTCGTTTACTTGTGGTCAAATTTTGTCGAATTTGGACGAGACTCTGGATGAATTGAATTTTTGAGTGTTTAGTGTCTCTATTGGATCTTAATTTTATCTAAACAGAACTTATTTCTTATTGGAAAATTTTTAGTGAAGAAAGTGTGTTAGGAAGTTAATTAATCTGTTTGTTTTACTGGATTTCTAAATTTGGATCATTTGCTTAATTATTTCCATTATTATCTTCTTTTGTGCAGGGACTGTGGGAAACAAGTCTATTTGGGTATGGATTCGATGTACTCTGTTTAGTGTAATTATGTTTTATTAGTAAGGAAAAATGTTTATTGTAATTATATTTCTTTTTTTTATTTTTTATTTATGGAGTTCGTATAACATATTTAATTGACTTGGAAGTTGATTTTGTTTAGGTGGATTTGATACTGCCCATGCTGCCGCAAGGTGATTGTTATTTCGTTGATAATTATGTTTTGTCTCCCCTCCTTTTTTGTTCTCTGGAAATCCAAGCTATGTTTTTCTAACCTAGACTTTATACGCAGAGCCTATGATCGAGCTGCTATCAAATTTAGGGGCGTCGATGCAGACATCAATTTCAGTCTAAGTGACTATGAGGAGGATCTGAAACAGGTTGGATAATAAGGATATCAATAGGAGTAAATCCAGCTTGTTCTAATGGTGGTTTGATTGGATTCTTATCTAATTAGGTCATCTAACTCTGATCAATTGGCAGATGAAGAATCTGACCAAGGAAGAATTTGTACACATACTTCGTCGCCAGAGTACTGGTTTCTCAAGAGGCAGCTCAAAATATCGAGGGGTGACACTCCACAAATGTGGCCGATGGGAAGCAAGGATGGGGCAGTTCCTTGGCAAAAAGTGAGCAACTCTTTTATGTACTTTGGATTTGTTTCTTGCTGTTCTATAGATAGTCATATGGTACATTTAAAATTTCACCGTGCGTGAACTGAGAATTGATTTCAAATTAATTCTCAAATAGGCTTTTTCTTGTTATTTCCTTGTTTGGAAAAACAATACTGAAAATGCCTATTTCAAAGAAGAAATGATTGGCGATGGAGTTTTCATCGTGGAGATTACAATACTTGCATGCAGGTATATATATCTTGGGCTGTTCGACAGTGAAGTAGAAGCTGCAAGGTCCTAATGATCATGAATTACACTCTTCTGATACTCAATTTATTACCCTGAATTCTCAACCTCAATACCGTTCCATCCAACATGTGTCTCCCTTTTGATTTTCTGGAAATCAGGGCTTATGACAAGGCAGCTATCAAATGTAATGGAAGAGAGGCAGTGACCAACTTTGAGCCAAGTGCATATGAAGGGGAGATGGTCTCTGAGGCCATTAATGAAGGTATTATTTGATTACTATGCAATTGGATATTCCTGATGTTTATACTTAAAATCTGTGTTTGAGAATGGGTTTATGCGGCAGGTAGTGAACACAATCTTGATCTGAATTTGGGGATATCCCCTGCTTTGGGCAATGGTCCCAAGGAAAATGAGGGGCATCTACAGTTCCACTTTGGCCCTTTTGACATGGATAGCAAGAGCTCAAGGGTAATACTTGACCTAAGAATATTTGAAAATCTGTGGTTTCTCTTTATGTATTTTGTATTTAGAGCATCAGGTTTCAGAATGTTGTTTTTGTTAGTATGCTATTGGACTGCCATGGAGAGGTGAATCTTGAAACCATTACCTACCTGCTAAACATTTAGATGAAGCTTTGCAAATTCCTTCCTTTATGTATACATTGAAAAATATTTTGCCTATATTTTAGTTTCAAAGCTGTCAAAGGTTTATCCGCTATGTGATCTGATTCTACAGGAGAACTCATCAGTTGCAATGGTAGGTGATCTACCTTTCAAAGGGCCATTGAGGACACCAGACCATCCAATTTTCTGGAATGGCGTATACTCTAATTTCTTTCCTAATGAGGTATTTGTTGTTGCCTTGTTGCTGGTGTCGAAATATTTATTAACTTGCCACTTTTTAAGTGCATTATTCAGTATGAAATGTATCCTTGATTCTAAATGAACTATTTTGCTGTAATGGATGAAGGCTGGAACTCCATGTACTCTTTCTTCTTTATAATAGTTTTATTTTCTCTTTAGTAATGAACAAAAAAAAAAAGATTCCGATATTTTCTCTAGTTGTTGCTGTTTCTGTTATGGAATTGCTTGAAATTTTCCTGCAGCAAATATTGCTCAAAATGTTTTATTTTCCTAGCCATGGGCAGGAATTGTAAGGTTTGCATGTCAAGCACTTCATAAAAATATTGCTATCATAACGTGTAACATGTATACTTTCTGGTTAAGAATAAAGTTTTTCCTCGAAATTCCATGCTGTTATTCATTAATAACTAAATGCATGGAGATTTCTTCTTTTTGAGCAGGAAAGAGCAACAGAAAAGAGAATTGAATTAGGTTCTCCACAGGGAGTCCCCAACTGGGCGTGGCAAATGCACGGTCAGGTCACTGCTACCCCAATGACAATGTTCTCTACTGCAGCATCATCAGGATTCTCATTTGCGGCTACCCCTCCATCTGCTGCCATCCTTCCATCAAAACCACTCAATCCAGCACCACATCATCTCTATTTTCCTCCACCTGCCACCATCACCACCAGTGCCTCTCAATTCTACTGCCCAGTGAAACCTCCACCATAATGTATTCCCTTTCTGCACTGGAAGTAGATAGTTAAAAAAAAAAAAAAGAACAAAAAAACAGAAATGGTATTCAAATTCACGATGAATTGAAAATATTGATTTGTTATAATACTAAATTCATGCCTTGTTTCTTTTTGATAAAACCATGACTATATTGGATTTCATTGTTTGGGAATTAGCTAGTAGCTATATGAGTATGTTTATATATTTATAGGTTGGGTTCGATCTTGAAAGGGACCCACCCCATAGATTATGATTGTACAATAATACCTCCTAACACTAGCAAAAATATGCTCCACTAACTACGGGCAAAAATAGTGTGAAGTTTGTAGAAGTACAACGTAAAACGCAGGGGACATTTTATAGTGGTAGAGAGCAGTACAACATATAATGCTTTGCAAGTGGGCTTAGAACCAAAAATGAGAAAAAAAAGTTGTTTTCCATTCTCTTGCTTCACTCATAACATTCTTCTTTCCACACACAACTTTGGCATTACTATTATTACAGTTACTGCTGCCTCTTCCAGCCTTGAAGGACTATTCCTTATTATTCAGAGGCACTTATCATTCTCTCTATACCATAATATGGGTCACTAAATAAAATAAAATTTCCAAGGGATGAACGAAAGATAATTTGCCAGCAATTGCTTTAAATTTTGAATCCTGACTTTGTTATAAACCTATAAGCGCACTTTAATGTTTTTAGCGTATTTTTTAAGTATAATACTATAGTTTCATACTTTTTAGTGTACTTTCTTTTAAGTATAACGCATTTGACAATTTTACTTTTCCTAATAAAATAAATTTTATGTAACAGTTTGTGTTGTTCGAGTTATTGGAATTTAAAATTAAAAACTCCGGCAATTTCGTTTAACTTAATTTCAATAATTACCATTTCAAGTAATAAGTTAAGAAGCTTTAATTTTTCATTCAAATACTTCATTGATGTAATTTCATTTAACTTTAGTGGTTGTCTCACCCGCAGGTGAACTTGTATGGTCACCATCGCAATGTGGATATGATTGATTGGTGAGGGAGCAGCCACGTAACAGTGTATTTTGACATAGGACAGTTTCATTTCATTTCATAAACATAAATATAGACCGCATTTTGGCTTTGTGAAGTTTAATTAAATTTTTTCAGTTTTCAATGTTTAATATATTATTGAACTCTAAATTTAGTTATAATCCACATTTTAACTTATCATTTTGCTGAAAATAATTGCAATTAAATATAGCTTTTTCAAAATTACAAAATCAAGATATTGTTTTAAATTACTTAATTTTTTTCAAATTAAATATCCATTCTTAGCAAGTACCATTAGAAAAAGCTATATTAAACAAATACAACATATAAAATATTTATTATAAACCAATAAGTGATTGGGTGAATAGAAATGAATTACATTTTTAGACGAATTTTATCTATCAGAATATTTAAAATTTAGAATTATTATTATTGAAAAGTATGAATTAGCCCCATTGACATAAACATGTGAAAACATTATGTTCTACGTAGTGAAAAAAAAAAAATATTAGTTACAAAAAGTAAGTTTGATTCAAATCATAGGCATAACCCTCACTTTTTCAGGTTGAATTTGCAAATGGATTAAATGAAATAAAATTGAATTTTTAATTTATCACTTTGCATGATATAATTTGATCGCAAACTTGTTAACAAATTTATAATATATAACATATATAATTCAAATCAAACTTCATTTTTTCTCTCTTTTTTTCTTTTTGGGAAATAAGGAAAGGTAAAATTGTCAAATGGTGATGTAATAATTCCATTTTTTTTATTAGTTTTCTGATTTTCTTTTGTTCTTATCACATCATTTTTCAATTTTCACCTGGCAGAAAAACAAATTACATGTGTAAGGTTCACTGTCCTATGTTTATGACCCCTCCCTAAACCCTACGCTCTCATCCCATTCCCATGAGAAAAACAAACCCATTTTGGCATTTTCTCTTTCTGACTCATATCATTGAATGGGCTTAATGACAGCACCTTATATCGCTACCACATGGTGGGCCCAAATCCATTTGTATTTTTGCTGACCCATCATTTTATTTCCTTTTTTTTTTTTTTTTTTTTTTTGTGTTTCTGCTTGTTTATCAATTTGTTGATGTTTGTGATTCTTCATATGCTTTTTTTTGGATTAGTTCTATTAAATATCTATTGGACTTATTATAAGTCCATACTTGTTTAAAAGCGTCATAATTTTTCCTTGGAGAGGAGAATTTCTTTCTGCCGTTTTCTTTAATAATACTACTTTTGACCGATTCAATTTGAGCTGAGTTTGAAAACGGTTTTTTGAAATTTTTGTGAAAGCGTTTGTTTTTGGGATGAGAGATTGTGGTTTCTTTTCCCTTTCCTTTAATTAATTTTGCAAAGAAAACGATAAATTGTGTTTAACTACAAAATCCAACTCATCCCCTGTTCAATATGTTCAAATTTCAGTCACTATTTCATTTATCGGTCAGATACTACTGTGAAAAGTAATTTGTTTTGTCAATTGAATTCTCCTGTTTCATTCTTTAATTATCTTTAGATATTTTTTCAGTTAGTGTGAACTATTGCGGCTGGGGCTTTGAATTGTTATCTCATGTTAGTATTCCATTTGCCTGCTTTGCAGATTTCTGCTTTTGGTCTAAGAGAGGAAAGTGAATCGCTTGTCCTTTATTCCTAGCAGTGTAAAGATTATTCGTACATGGGTCCATTATCGGAACTAGCACATGCGGGGAATCAAAATAAACCCTACGGAATTCAATTCTTAAAATGCATAAGGAAAAACAGAGTTTCCTACAAAACCTACCAAGCCATTGTCTTGATTGTAACATTTTTTGCATACGCTAGCTACCATGCTGCTAGAAAAACCACAAGCATTGTCAAGAGCACTCTTGATCCTGAATCATCGGAGTTGGGTTTGAAGCTCTTTCCATGGAAGATCACTTACTTGAGTGAACCAGTAGAAAGAAGGCTTTCATGGAAACTAGGAGATGGTTGGGCCCCTTTTAATGGATCAGATGGTACTGCCTTGCTTGGTGAACTTGATGTAGCTTTTCTCTCTATATATGCCATGGGAATGTATTTCTCTGGACATATAGGTGATAGGATGGATTTAAGGATCTTTTTGACGATAGGAATGGTGGGAACAGGCTTATTTACTTCGCTGTTTGGTGTTGGATATTGGGCAAATATACATAATTTTTACTACTACTTGATAATGCAAATGCTTGCTGGTTTGTTGCAATCAACTGGATGGCCTTCAGTGGTTGCTGTGGTTGGGAACTGGTTTGGGAAAACCAAGAGGGGGCTGATTATGGGCATATGGAATGCTCACACCTCGGTTGGGAACATTTCAGGGTCTGTGATTGCTGCTGCAATGTTGAGCTATGGATGGGGCTGGTCATTTGTTGTTCCTGGCTTAATCATTGCTTTTATTGGCTTGGTGGAACGTAAGATATTCCTGTTTTGTAGGGTGATTCTTACTCATCGATTTAACGTGTTTTATTGAGAAAATTATTATTCTTTTTGAGTATTATTTTTAGCTATTTTTTTTCTTAATGAGCAGAGTTCATGCGTCTTATTTTTTAGGCGATTGGTATACCCAATTAATAGCATCATTAGTTGGGTCTTTTGAGATCACAAAATCCTCAGTGCTAATCTTTATTACGCTTTCACCCCTTCCAACGACCCTGTTCCTGTTTCAGTAGATCTGCAATGTGTCTAATTCCATTTGACTTAATTTAATGCTCAATAATATGAATTTTTTGCTTTCAATTTGTTTTCTTTTCAATAAACTAAAAAGATAATTTTTACAAGTTTCAACACTCACAAATTTCCATAACAATCCCTATGCACCAAAAAGAAAAAAAATAGTAAATTAAAAGCTAGATTGCGGAAATTCCAGGGCATCCCACCTCTATATTCTACAGGACAAATCTCCACGAAAAAAAAAAAAAAAATAACAAAATAAAATGAAAAAACATCAAACTAGTCAATTAGGTCGGTAAGGCGTCCATGGCCTACTGGAAAAACAATGAATCATATTGAAGCACTTCAACAAACTTATGTCATTTTGCAATATAAAATTTTGTTCATATGCATTATGGAGGCAATAGGCAGTATAAAAAACTCACCCAAAGACAAACTGAAGAAAAATGGAAAGGGAGAAGGTTTCAAACTTCATCTATTTAATTGTGAGTAGCAACCAAAAATTCATTTTTTTTCCTATAAGGAGCAAAACACTCGCCCTGTCTGGAGGATCAACCTCCCAGTTTCACAATATACACCATTTCACAATACAATCTTCATATTAAATGCAGCCTGCAGCTTCCTTCACCTGATCGCAAAGAACAAACAACATTATTAAATTAACTGGTCATGCTATGACTGACAAACAGATGCTTCCCCATGTTTTATAACACGTTACAATTATTCTTCTTTGACATGTAAGGTAAATAAAGCAATAATGCAATAGAAAATATCATTTGCATGATAAGTTGAAAATTAAATGGTGATGCTTGAAATTGTAAGGGCTCAGATTCATCCGTGGCTAATTTAACATTAAAATAAGAACACAGACTTAATTACCTGCTGCCTTCACGATCCCATTTTTCGGGAGTTATCCTTCATCACGCTGCCATAAGAGACCAGTCATGAGTCGGTCCATCCCATCCTTCAGTTCAAGTTCAAGGCCTCATAATTGCATACATATCATTTATGCTTCTTTTGACCATTGCTAGCAAGGGTTAAAAACTAGTCTCTCAAACAGGGTTCACATCTCAAATGTTCTGTTATACAAGTCCCCAGAACTTGGCATACGAAACTTGGAATCTTCATACCCAGAAGAGTAGAACTTGTTCAATCCTAGTCTCTCATTTCGTAGGAGTTCTGCCACGCCCAGATTATTTCCACCCTGAACTTCATTCCAGCCATCCCAGTGACCATTTGACATAACACCATTCCTAGAATGCTGAAGGGACATTTGCATGAATGGAGATAAATTGTTCATTTGTGATTGATCCACAAGCCTTGATGAAATGCCATATGAATCACTGAGAGAAGAAAAGCTATCCCCAATGTCAGCATATCTCAGGTTCTGGTGTGGTGAGAGAGATCTTTGCATCAACAGCTGAAGTCTTGCCTCATTCTCGAAGGCACTTAGTTGTTGTGGGAAATTTGACCTCATGTCTAAGCCTGGGTTGTTAAGTGCACCTTGAAGTCTCCCTTTACCAACTGCCAAAATTGCAGGATCCATGAATTCAATATCTCCACTGCTACTAATGTTTCCAGCTGGAGGTGCTTGATATGAATTTCTCATCAAGGAAGAAGAGTCGAGCAAATGACCCCCTGGTAAAATGAAAAGAATATGAGACATGATATAAAAACAATAATCATGATGAATGATCTGGATGATGAATATTGAAACAAACCTGAGATAGAATCAAAAATATGGTCCATCCTCTCATGAGAAGAAAAGCCTGGAGGTGGAGCTCTGTTAGGCACGGAGAAACCAGGAGGGGCAGAAATTTGAGCTCTTGAAACTGCTAGATGAAAAAAGTTCAGCATATAAACCACCAGAAAACTCCAATTTGTTCAATCAAAGGGGTATAAATCCATTTATAGAGAGGAAGAATTCATGAAAAAATACTGATAAACTTCCACTCTGCCAAGATAAGTTTGAGAGAGAGAGAGAGAGAGAGAGAGAGAGAGAGAATATTGAAAGAACAAGAACATCTCCTGAATTAATTCAATAGTTTGTCTAATTACAAAAGCTAATCAACTATCAGACTGTACAGACCTTAAATAAAATCTCAAAATATAAAATACAATATAAACCTCTTAGTCAAGCTCCACTTAATCAAAAGATAAGAATACGGACCAAACAGGCACTTAAAATGGAAAAGAAGATGTACATTATAATGGGAGCCCATCGCTAGCTATCTTAAAGTTTACATAGTATCATTCACAGTCGTCAATACTTCACTTACCCTCCTTAAAATGGGCATGAAGTTGCACGAATTGGCAAACAACTCAGTAATGCAATCAAACCACCAGCGACTAAAACACACGAGCCAAGAGGAGGACAGCATAGTAAGATTCTGCTTCCTAAAGTTAGCTCATTGCTATCACAAATTATCAAAAATATCATTGTTGGTTTTGTTCACAGGAATTTAAGAGGGACCCTAAAACATGAATTGATTTGTATTAAATCCTTGTTGAGCTTAGTTAAAAAGATATTCTTTTATGAAGATCCTCCAACTAAATCGTTTACTATGAGTTTTAGTTCAAGCGCCCTTTAATCCATTTAAATAGTCTAGAATACCAAATATGGGAGATGTACAAATCAGAACAAAATGAAAAAACACATGGGCCGTTCCATGGATCTTAAAAACATGGGCCTGCTAGAACTACAAAGATACAGTCAAAGAATAACAAAAACAAATATTAGAATAACATTAAAAAATTAAAAAACACATAGTAAACCAAAACCATCCAAACACCATTGACACATTATCCTTATACCATGGACCAGCTTAATCTTAAGCAATCAAGAAACAAATATGCAAATCGCCATGCCTGACAAGGCCCAATATGGATATGACAGTGAAGTAATGCTAATTCTTACCCAAGGTCTCATTCATTTCTCTACTTCAAGTTGCAAAATAATACAATGTAACTCATTTCCCATAAATCCAGTGACGCCTTTAAACAAGAAAGCAAGCCAAAATCTTAGAAACAGAAAGAAAATAAATACTCACCAGAAGGAGGCTTATTTGAAGAGAAAACTGAAGGACCACTTGTAAAAGTTTCAGATTCCTCAAAATTACTGGAAGAGAAACCATTTCCCATTCCAAGCTTATCAAAATATGAATTCCTTCTTTCAGAAAAGTCCTGGTTAAATGAGACGTTCTTTGGCATCTGTCCAAAAACACTAAATGAAGGATGAACATCGACTAATTGATTTCTTGATTCCTCCTGTCTAGCAAAGGAGAACCTAGACTGATTATTATTATTATTTTGAACCTTCCAAGAACTAGACATTTTGAGAGGGCTAGGCTGTTTGTCAGTTTCACCCAACAATTTAGCCAAATTCTGAGGTGAAGTTAATGAGTCATCCCAGGAATCGAGATCTAGTGACAATATATTTGAAATTATGCTGCTCTCACCAGCATCCAATGCAGTAGTATCACCCTGTAACCTGCCCATTTGCTTCACTTCCCCTTCAATTGGTAGAGAGAAGGAACGCCCCATATTTCTATCCAGACCAGCAGAACTGCTTATCAATTTCTCAGGGTATCCATTTGATATTTCAGTATTGCTAGAGGCATGATGAAGTGTACGGTCACCAACCCTATTATCTACAAATATAGGATCAGCATTTACATTAATGACACCAAAAGGATCATTAATTTGCAAAGAATGAGACCTAGAATGATTTGAAACATGGAGCGAATTAGCAGAGTTTGGAAGGTATGTAGTACGGCTGACTACTTCCGGATCCTTAAGCCTTTGATTATCAAATGATATTATATCCTCCTCTACTTCAGACACGGTATTTGTAACTGTTTGAGTTTGAGTATCTGTTCTCCAATCAGATTGTTCACTCCAACAAGAATTGTTCTCAGTTACTGGTGAAGCTAAAGGTTCTTGATATTGGTCAACATAATGTTGCTGTAATGCTTGACTCCCAGGTGATTTTATAGCACTCTGATCTGTAAGTGAATTATTAGTTCTAGTTACACCAGATGGTTCACTTCTAACTGTACTCTCAACCTTTATTGCCGGCATATCAGTTGCAACAGTTCCCCCTTTCTCAGGCTCAAAAGATGGCAATGTACAAACAAAAGAATTTGTATCATTTGACACCAAAGAAGAGCCCCATTCACCGTGCTTAGATGCTGGAGGACTGGAAGACCGATTACTCAATGTTGCAGTAGTTTCATCAATTGTGGCTGGTTTCTCTGATGCGTTGGCACGAAAATCCACAACATTCTGTTTCACAGATTTCAAAGGATCTGGTTTGCCTTTACCATTTATCATTTGATTATCCTCATTCCACACTGCCCTTTTACCTACATCGCTTTGCAATGTAGAACCCTGATTTGTACTTGCAACTGCGGATGAGAATCCTAATGTACCATTAACTGTCTCTGATTTAGGCATAGTAGGGCCATTAGAAGATGTTGAACTAGCAGCTGGCGGCTGATTAGAAGCACGCATTCCCCTGGTATAATACTTATTCAGCAACACTGACCCCCCAAAAAAAAAAAAAAGTGGCGGCCTGATAGAAGCACGCAATTCCCCTGGTATAATTAACTTATTCAGCAACACTGACCCCCCAAAAAAAAAAAAAGTCGAGACTAGATATAATGTTATTGGCCATACCATTGAAGCTGCTGCAGGAAAGAGCCAAAGCATCTACCAGTACTTCCATTAGGAGGTGAATCCTTTGCCTGTTACTACATGTATTCTGCCAAGAGAAACTATATCCAAAACTTTAAGCCAGTGATACATTTCAGGTTCTCTTTCAAATACGCCAATCGCATTTTCACTGGACTTTCTTCAACATCCTTGTATAGAATTGATAGCATAAATTTACTTGCAATAAATAGAACAAATCTTACATGTGAAGTCATTTTTGAAATGGTTTTGCTGGAAGAAGTAGAAGTATTGGCTGCTATAATCATCTTTACAGGGGGAGGCAACATACTCCCTGAACGCCGCAGCATATTGTTTATCTGCACCAGTAATTGTTGCACTTCTACCTTCTTTTAAATCATCAAAAAATTAATTATTCATCCAATGAAACAAATAATGTAAATTGTAGTTGCAAAAACACTTTCAATGCTAAAGATAAAAAATCAGGTATATAAATGTATGATTCTTGATTGGTTCTCAATCCTTAATAACAATTTAAAAAAAAACATCCCCTCTCTTAAGCTCTCTCCCCAAACACACAGAAGAAACCCTATCTTACCCTCCAAAACAAAGTGATTCGATGCATTAATAAGAATTGTGGTTATGTGAATTTACAACTTATTAGGGTCACTGTGACTCTTAACTTGGTCAAATTTTACACATAAATGCATTTTGAAATTATTTTTTGTTCATGGTATATTTTTTTCCAAAAGCAAATGAATAATAAATATTAAGATATAATTTTTACTAGTTTTCTAGTTAATTTCTGCAGCCATAATTTTTTCAAGTTCCTGAGATACTTTAAAAAACTAGGCTACAGATATTGCTTTAAAGTAGGCCCATAATCACAGGGACGAAAGGTCTGCTTTCCAATCGAGGGGCCTCCTAGTTTACAAAATAAAACTACGGATTTTTTTTATTAAATTAAAACAAGCAACAACTAATTTTCTGTGCTTTCTTCTGTCACAGAAAGACTAAAACACCGGAAGAGGAGAAAAAGCTTGTTTGAGAAGGAAACATCTTTCTCCTCTCCTTTTCCATCTTCTTCATTTCTTTTTCACTTTTTCTTCTTTCTCCATTATTGTTGCGGGGCATAACACCAATTTTGAATACCCCAATTCACACCCCAACAATCTGGATCATGGGAAATAACCAAAATTTTGGGAACACAACAGGCAGCGGTCATGGGTTACCATTAGGAGGAAATGCAAATTAGGTAACTTTGGGCCAAATTATACCTCTAAACCCCCTTTTTATTAAGCCAAAGAACCATATCTTTATACATTCCTTAAGACAATAAACTGCACGGAAAATTAACAAGAAACAAAGAACTTATGCATTTCTGTAACAGCACTACAACCAAGTCGTCAATGTCCTCAGTGATATAATCAAACCATAAAAATATTACCTGTGTAAGCTGATATCTTATCCTCAATCTTTTGCTAAACCTATCTTCTTGAGAACCAATTTCATGCAAGTATAGACAATTCTGGATTGCGTGCAAGGCTTGTAATAAAAAAATTTTCATTCTGAATTAAAGTATATTCCAGCTATTGATTTTGCAGTGTTCCACGAGAAATCCCAGAATCCCAAGGTGAAAAGGTAGTGCTTCATTAAAAAATACCATACCACATTTCTCAGCCACGCCATGACAAACTTTGTGTCCCAAAGCATGCCTCTGAAATCACTAGTACTGTTTAAGCATTTGCATATGCAACAAACATTCTTAGACAAAAAATTTCATTATAATGCTAAAGACCACATACTTAAAGATCTACCATCCAAAGACTAAAAACCATGTACCAGACTGCAATACAACGAATTAGCTTCATCCTTCCTCGAGTTAAGTAATATATCTGCCATAGAAATCAGGAAAGATTTTTATACTTTAAAATAAAAAAAAAAATCATTAAAGGGGCAATAATCACTTTTACCAATTATTCATTACAACAACAACAACAACAACAAAAACAAAAAATAAAAAAAAAAAAAAAAAACAATCAAAGCCTTAGTGCCAAACTAGTTGGGATCGAATATATGAATTCTTTGTTTCTATATCCTTCTTTAATCAAATCAACACCAGGCAACGTATAAGTATAAGTTCCGAAACATTTAACATATCATTAAATACAATTAAACGCAAGGGAAACCAGGAAAACACCTCTTACCTTTGTATAATAATGTATAATAAACCCAAAAATAAAAGATTAAGATTGTTAACCACCTCCTGTTCTTGAAGCTCACAACACATTATTAATTGGATATGAATATCAAGGATAATTGAAGCTTCTGTCTGACCATCGCAGCAAAGAACGAAAGTTATACAGGAAGACTTTGCATCCAGCAAAGGACATGGTTGATGCAAAACCTAAACTTCTACACCACTACTAAGTATTGCTTTGGAAACTGTGTATTAACCGCTGTCTTTCGGAAGACATAGAAACTTTAAACCCTTTCCATACTGGCCGAAGTACTCTCTGCGTTTTAAAAGCTGCTTCATAAATATTTTAAAATTACACGCCTCAGCAATTTTTTTTGACGGTAGTGAGTTTGGGGAGAGAGAAAAGGGGTTGGGAGAGATGAATTACTCTCATCTTGCCAGATTTAGAGGCCAGCCAACAATGTACACAAGGTTCCGTTGGATTAACGCGCACACTTGCTAAGTTGCTTCCTTTCCCTCAAGTTGGTTTTGTCTTTGCCTTCTTGACTTCTTTCGCTCAACACCAATTTCCCAGCGACCAACCTTTGGGTAAAGTTCAAAAGTTATTAAGTAAAGAAAAACCACTGATATCAGTATAACCTTCTAGTGCTTGTGAAACAACTAGAAATTCACTAAATCTTTTGATAATGCCGAGACAACCTTTTCACAGTTAGCAAGCCATTCCAACTATCTTCTCTTTGTCATAAGGGTGACCGGACATGCTGGGCAAACCGCCCCTCTGTATCATCTTCTCTGCCATGTCCTTATATGATTTGCCTAACACCAAAACACGATATCTGGACATAAGGAAGGAAATTAACAGTTATAACGAAAATGTGTCATTCTTACATTAGCAACTTGAAGATGAAAACGTGGAAAACAGAGTATGAGCAGGTGATTCACAAACTTACAGATATTCACCAACAACCTATTTAAAGAACCTTTTTACAAATGAGAAAGTAACATGTTTTCCTTCATTTCATCCTCCCAACTAGCGCAAACCAGTAACCACTTAAAAGATGCGCCAATCCTTTTAGAAAGTTGATGTTATTTGGCTATATGCCAATAGGAGATCAATCCTCTATCTCTCTGCTT